TWTTATTTAAAATGTATTCTTTTCTCTTCTTTTGTTTGCCATTACTAGCATAAAAAAAATCTCCGGTCGGGCCACAATGCATTATGGGATATACTGGGCTGGGAAGGATCCATCAGACCAGTCCTTCGATTCGGGTCAAAGGAAGGACGTATTTGTCGGCCGCATCGGAGGAGTCTTCGGTTTTGGACGGCCTTCGTCGCGGCGCTGTGACGTATGCGGCCGACGAATTCTGCCTTCAGAGAACCTGGTCCACCGTTTTGGACACAACCACAATGTATGGAACAATAAAGAAATTTAAAATTTATTTCATCAGCTTGTCTTCTGAAGATGCTCTGTGTTGAAGGATCAGTGGATCTGTGTTCGACTACTCCACCTAGGCTGCATTGTCGAGCTCAGATCCACTGAGAAACTTGCTGTTTCAGCAACATTTAATTTAAAAACTACCTTTGAGCTTAAAAATGTTCAGAATTAATTTAAATAAATTACAAGTTAAGAAGGGCATGGACATTTCTCTTTTTTGTATCAAGACAATCTTGAACCGTGAGACTAAAGTATCGAATCAAATCATGAATTTTCTGTATGTTGCACCCCTATTAATAACCACTTAAAATACACCAATGTGCAGGAAATGACATCTAATTTATCCCCCCAGACCCCCAGCCCAGTGCCCCTGCCCCACATTACAAACACTTCTGATGCCACTGAAAAAACCTGATGTAAGGATTTATGATACGCATGAACACATTCAGACTGAACTGTTAGAGAATTACAAATTATTTCTWTTCTCTGGACGTCACATGATCAGTAATTATCTGTAAAACAACAAACTGAACTRCATCCTGTACTTTTATGTTGCCGTGGTTTTACAACAATAGCTTTGTTGTGGATTTTAATTTTGTTATGCCCCCCTGGATTTTCAATGGCCCCCCCGTATAAATAATTCTGGAGGCGCCACTGCTCAAAAGTCTGAAGAGAGAAAAAGAGAGTTGTAGAGAAACCAGGTGATGTTTTGGAAATTTGCCTGCAGAAATGATCAAAGCCAGTTGTTTGTCTGTGATCTCGCTCTGTTTTCCTCTCAGTCTTCATTTTGTTTCTTTCTCTCCTGCATTAAGCCTCTTTAGAGCATCATTACTCCTCCAGGTCTCCCTCCCTGCCGTCGTCTCATCTATCTTCCTCTGCTGTCAGCGTGTCATTCCTCCACTCTGCTCGTCTCTGCCGTCCCGTCCTCTCTGCTGGGGCTCCGTCTCGAGGCCCGCAATCCTTCCCCCAAATCAAATCCTGGACTCTGAGTCCTTCCCTCTCATTCCAGGAAGTCTGTGAAGGAGGAGAAATGGATCTCCCCTCTCCTCCTCTGTGTTGTGGAGGCTGTTCAGGAGACAATTCTGAGCCCACATCCATCTCCATTAGCA